TAGGCTCTAGCCATTTTAGGCTCTAGCCATTTTAGGCTCTAGCCATTTTAGGCTCTAGCCATTTTAGGCTCTAGCCATTTTAGGCTCTAGCCATTCTTTTAATACCTCCAGAACTAATCTGGAATCAGAATGATAGGTATTTAACATTTGTGAGTTAGATTTTTTGATCAGCTTCATTTAGATTTTTTGATCAGACTGATTAGGTGATTTTTGAACACCTAATTCTAGATATTAATGAGAACATAAGCTGCACAACAAATTAGCGCAGGAATTATTCATAGATCTCTGGAAAATGCGGCGAATTTGCATTTCTAATTCGTCATAACTGCTCTAACATGATGTTTATGCAATGCAAAATACAATATTTTATGTGAAAAGTATACAGAATGACTGGCAGATATTTTACGTGAAAAGTATAGAGAATGACTGGCTGATATTTTACGTGAAAATATATAGAATGACTGGCAGATATTTCATGTGAAAAGTACACAAAATGACTGGTAGATATTTTACGTGAAAAGTATACAGAATGACCGGCAGATATTTTACGTGAAAAGTATACAGAATGACTGGCTGATATTTTACGTGAAAATATATAGAATGACTGGCAGATAATTCATGTGAAAAGTATACAAAATGCCCTCCAGATATTTTACGTGAAAATATACAGAATGACTGGCAGATATTTCATGTGAAAAGTATACGAAATGACTGGCAGATATTTTACGTGAAAAGTACAAAAAATGACGGAAATGAATGAAAATTATACAGAATGACCGGCAGATATTTTATGTGAAAAGTATACAGAATGACCGGCAGATATTTTGCGTGAAAAGTATACAGAATGACTGGCTGATATTTTATGTGAAAAGTTTACAGAATGACTGGGAGATATTTTATGTGAAAATATACAGAATGACCGGCAGAATTTTACGTGTAAAGTGTGCAGAATGACTGGCAGATGTTTGAAAAGTATACAGAATGGAACACATCTTATTTCTTAAGAAGTATATACATGCATCAATAAACTGTTGGTAATTAATGGATTCTATTTGTGTATTTCGGACACATAAATTTTTGATTGGAATATCATTCCACATACTATATTTATGTTTTCTTAAAATTGCAGCTATTGTTTCCCTCACTGTAGTTTTTAAACGCTGTATTAAAGCAGGATTCAGTTCATAATCGTAGTAGCATTACTGCATGATAGATACTACCTGTAATAATTTTTAAATCAGTATAACTGGCAGAGTTATATAGTCGGAATAAACAGAATTATTAAAGTAAAACATACCTTATTTTATTATTTGGCAGGCCAGAATTTATTAGGCTTTGTTTTCACGACATGTGTCTTGGTAATTGTTTATGTTATTAATTAATTATTTTAATTAAAATTCGCACAACTGCTTCCTTCTCGAGTAGAAAATATTGACAATTTTTCAATTATTTATTTGATGGAACAATATTAATGGATGTAATTGCAATTTCGTTTGCCTATTTTATTTTCCTTTAATCATAAGACCTTGAAAAATCAAATCCATTTCTAACAAAATAAAATCCATTTTGAAAATCAAATTAAAAAATTTCTAACATAAGCGACAGCGCCACAGCGGTCGTTGGCCTAACAGGAGAAGTTAAAACAAATTTGGGGGCTAACAGTAAATCGAAGGGGAAACAGTACATGTACAGTACGTGGGTAAAAGATAAGATACTTCTCGCGCTAAAATTAAATTAAAATTAAAGAGGTTAAAGCAAACGTGTAGTAGGAGTACACTTGAGTGGTAAAGTGCATATGAGTGGTAATGTGAGCTTGAGTGGAAGAGTGAACTTGAATGGTAAAGTGAACTTGAGTGGTAAAGTGAACTTGAGTGGTAAAGTGAACTTGGGTGGTAAAGTGAACTCGAGTGGTAAAGTGAACTTGAGTGGTAAAGTGAACTTGAGTGGTAAAGTAAACTTGGGTGGTAAAGTAATCTTGAGTGTTAGAGTAAACTTAAGTGGTAAAGTAAACTTGATTGGTAAAGTAAACTTTAGTAGTAAAATAAACTTGAGTGGTACAGTGAACATGAGTGGTAAAGTCAACTTGAATGGAAGAGAAAGCTTGAATCATAAAGTAAACTTGAGTGGTAAAATTAACTTGAGTGGTAGAGTAAACGAGGAGCAAAAGTAAATTTAAGGAGTTAAAGTAAACCCGAGGAGTAGTAGAAAACTTGAGGGGTATAAGTAAAGGAGAAGAAAAATAATCTAGAGGTGTAAACCTGGAATTAATTGGCAAATTAATTAGTAAAAATTAATTAGTAATTAATTAGTAAAAGTTAACTTGAGGGTTAAAAGCACACTTGAGACGAAAACATAAACTTGAGAGCTAAGAGTACACTTTTGGGGTGACAAAAAATTTGAGGCAAAGAGGTAAACTTAAGAGGTAAAAGTAAACTTACGTTTTGAATTCAAGTTGGTAAATATACATATACCTGGGAGGATAAATTAAAACGTACATCTATGTTGATGACTATGATTTATTTCAAAACATTGTTCTAGAACATAGCGAGAGAAACTACCATTTACAATTTGTTCCTGATCCACAAATTAAACGTCGTTCGAATAATAAGATTATCGAAAATTGTATTCTTCCAAAACAATTTCCTGCAGTGACCGCCCAAAACTGTCTATTTTCTGTCTCTAATCAAATACCGTCTTGCAGTATAAAGCTGTACCTGAATAATAAATTTTTCTCTTCGTTAACTACTACCCTTGTTTTCACCGTTGATAAATATCCTGGAAATCTCTCGAGTTTCTGTAAATATTCAGAAAAAATCTCAAGAATTCTGCAGATAATCCGATAAGTCGCAGCGCCTCAGCGGCCTCGAATTTTTGACAGGCTAGAGCCTCCACTCGACCCTTCAGCGGGCGCCGCTCTGCCAAAAATCCTGGCAATCTTCATTCCATTTTATTCTTTCTTTCTTTTCTTTCCTCTCTTTCCTTGCTTTCCTTTCTTTCCTTTCTTTCCTTTCTTTCCTTTCTTTCCTTGCTTTCCTTTCTTTCCTTTCTTTCATTTCTTTCCTTTCTTTCCTTTCTTTCCTTTCTTTCCNGAGGTTTCCCCACCGCCTTTCCTTTCTTTCCTCGAGTCTTCCCCACCTCCTTTCCTTTTCCTCCTAGAGTCTTCCCCACCTCCTTTCCTTTTCCTCCTATAGTCTTCCCCTCCTCCTTTCATTTTTTTCCTAGAGTCTTCCCCTCCTCCTTTCCTTTCTCTTCTATAGTCTTTCCACCTCCTTTCCTTTCTTTCCTCGAGTCTTCCCCACCGCCTTTCCTTTCTTTCCTAGAGTCTTCCCCTCCTCCTTTCATTTCTTTCCTATATTCTTCCCCTCCACCGTTCCTTTCTCTCCTATAGTCTCCCCCTCCTCCTTTCCTTTCTTGCCTAGAGTCTTCCCCACCGCCTTTCCTTTCTTTCCTATAGTCTTCCCCACCTCCTTTCATTTCTTTCCTAGAATATTCCCCACCTCTTTTCATGGGTTTTCCCACCTGCACCCCAGGAGTATTTCTCACGCCCTGCAACAATAAAGTCGCCATTTCTGCAGCGAATAAAAAATACGAAGATCACATTTCGAATCGCTACGCGACACGAGCGATGAATTCTTACATTCACAAGCTGGAGTCTTTCCTTCATGTGGAAATACTGCTAATGAAGAATGAATAATAATACTGCTTCATATGCTACTGCTGAATGAATTATATATAATACTACTTCAATAATACTGCTTCATATGGAATTCTTGTAGTCTGTCCAGCACATCATGCGGACATCTTTGTTGATAATTCGACACACTCATTGTTTTAATTTAACCTGTACGTAAGGCTTAAAGCGGTACCATTTACACTGTACTTGAATTGCAGGTTTATTCAGTATCTATACTCATTGCGCATCTGAAGCCTTCGTTAGTTACTCACGTTACAGTGTATGAACTACGGAGCCATCTACAGTGCTTCTGATTAGTGGGTTTGTTGTAAGCAATTACTTACATTTCTCTTATAGTCATTAAATGTAATGGTTACTTACGATATATAGGTATCATTTGCTATCAGGTTTATCGAGTACTTTGTGTACAATATGCATCACTATAGATCCAGCGAAGTCTTGCCGTGCTATAGAAAACAATTCTTGCCAGATTTACACTAGACAATCAAGAGCCGCAACTCATCATCAATTGATTGGCTCGTGCCAGTTCGGTTGTTCTTCTCTCTCGATTGGAATTAGTATTTTTTGAATGAGAAACTAATTTTCTTACATTTATTATAGCATTTTAACGAGCAACACTTTACAGTTTTGCCTGATCAAAAAAGATATTTTTTATTCATTTCTTTCTTTCATCCTCACTTAATAACTTTTGTTTTAATTATTAAAGGTCATCTGAAGTTTTTTCTTCACATTGTCGACTTCTGGTCGGCACAGACAATACATTTTAAATGAAGCGTCCCGCTCTGGAGCTCTTTCGAGTGACGGTAAAAATGTTAAATGTTTTAATATTATAAAATAATTCAATCTTACGTTCTTTATTTAAATCACACAGCGATGCGATGCTGTTTTGTGGTCCCGATCAAGCAAATTTAATTACAAAGGAAAAAATAAGTCTGAAAAAGTTATTAGCTATACATGTATAATAAACTGTGATAAATTTCAAATTTAGGCAACGAATATGCCAACAATACTATCGAACCGGGCCAAAATTGTCTCACAAAATTTATTTGACCTTTTTCTGTACGTTAGATACTAGCACTCAATGTCAGAGTCGCGTTATATTTCTGAGCGTTATTTTTTCAATGTCAGAGTTGCGTTATGTTGGTTATTTTTCTTATCCAGCTCGCGCTACGATATAGATAATGGATGAGAAAAAGATATACACGTTAATATTAGGTAATGATACCATATAAATAAAAGACAACGATGCGATATAGATGCAAGGTTGTGATATCATATTGATATAATGCTATTATACGATAGACATAACAGAAAGTGATAAGATATAGATACCAGGTTATGATTCCATATAAATATTTGGCTCTGATATGATATATGTATATACATGCATATTATAGGTAGTGATACGATATAGATACCAGTTTAGGATACGGTATAGATACCAAGTTATGATTCCATATAAATACAAGGCCACGATACCCAATTGATTGATATTAGGGCATGATTCGATATTGATAAACCCAAGTACCAGTAAAACAGTATGATTATGAGTTATGATATACAGTTACCATTTTCCCTTTATAACTTCATCCCAGATAAATCAAGTCCTTCAAAAACACATCCACGGATTAAAAAGCTTCGTTTTACACCTTTAATATCCAGGTATTTTTCAAAATTTTTTATCCAAATACTTTTCAATGGGCAGCTTAAACATCCATCCCTTCTTCAAAGTTGATGCCAAAAATTAAAACGTACTGGGTTCTTTAACTAATGAAGCAACTTTCCGAGGAATTTTTCCATGAGCCGGGAACTTTTCCCGTGGAATGTTTTTTTTTGCTTTCTTGGGATTTCAATTTAAATTTTTAAATTTCAATTTAATCCTGGGCAGTGAATTCATTTCCGAGAATCAAATAGATTGGAGTGGGCTACAGTGCATATACTATCGTGTGTTTCGGCAGATTGGTGTAGGGTAGTGTAGATTAGTGTGGGTTGGTGCAGAGTGGTCTGGCTTAGTGTAGATTAGTGTGGGTTAGTGCAGATAGATCTGGCTTAGTGAAGATTGGTGTAGGTTAGTGTATATTGGTGTGGGTCAGTGCAGATTTGTTTCAGTTAGTAGAAATTACTGTATGCTGGTGCATATCTATCGATTTTAAAAACGAGATTTTGAAGTTGATTCATTCTAAAGATTGTGAACCGATACTTAACGATTGACCTACGATGCGATGACGACAGGACTTAGTCGTCGCGAATGGAAGTAAAAGAATGTGGCAACTGCTAAGGATTTTTTACAACATGTCTTCTGGCATTATTTATAGCAGAGCTTCGGGGATTCTTTAGCAGGGGTTTTCAGCGATTTTTTACCTAATATCTCGGGTGATTTTTTATTGCTTGATTCTGGGATTTTTTAACGCTGTTTTTTTATTCTTTATTGCATTTATGCTGGTGTTGTCGCTCGGGAATTTTTTAAAAAGTGTTTTCGGGCATTCATTGGTAGATTTCTTTTGAGAATTTTTATTGCAATTTTGATAATATTTCACTATGTACTTTAGAGACTGCTTACGTTCAGGTCTTTGAAAGAAGTAGTGTGATTTATGCCGCACTATTTGATAAATCTATGGAAATTGCGAAATAAACACAAAGACCTTAGTTTATAATGTATATATATTAATAATGGCTAAATTAATAAGTATTTTCGAATTTAACTAAAGTAATTTTTAGTGCAATATAAATAAATTTCCCCCATGTAATAAATTGATCCTTTTTGAACCCAAACAGCGTTGCTAAATAAGCGTCAAAACTTTTGTTAGCACAAAAATTTATTGAATGCTTAACATGAATCAAATTGGTACTCTGAGCATCAGTCAGAGTGTATCGAATATTTCGTGCAAATGTGTTGCATTTTGTCGCAGTTATTTTAACTCTTTAACTCACTTACTATTATTTTAACTCATCGACGTCTCTTCCACTCGTAAGCATAATATAAGTATTAACAGCATGTTGAAAAACACTGGATTTAATAGATAGACAAAATAATACAAAATATTTCAAATATCATCGGACGAAAATTTGCGCTGACTTTCAAAAGTCGCCTGGTAGTTTCAAGACGAGGCAATTTTAAACTTTGGGGAATTACAGAATTCGTATAATTTCCAGAGGACCTGCGGGGTATGATGAAAGGCCTTCTGCAGTTTATTGTGTCTCAAAAAGTTTTAATTGATCATACAAAGTCCGACAAACTTTGTGTGGAAGGCTCCGGAACTGTGACGCAATTCAGATGCGACCCTGCGGTCGCAACTGAAAATGTCATGGTCTGTCTTGACCATGACATGAAAATGGTCTGTCATGACCATGACATGAAAATGTCATGGTCTGTCATGTCAGAAGAAGGGTCTGTCATGGACCTCATACGTGGCAGAAAATGTCGGAAGAATTCGCAATTTTTACGAGCAATTTTGACATTTTGAGTTTTTCACTTGATTAATATTTTTATGGCCCAGAAACTTTACGAAAAACGGCCTTGGAACAGAAAAATGGAAACTAAGACAACTACGAGGACTTTAATTGGCTATTTTAAGCACCGAAATAACAAGTTTTCTGTTAGTTTTTTTTTAATGAAGTTTATTTGAAAAATTGTGGGGCAAGTTACGAACGAATTTCATTTTATTTCTAACTCATGACTTATCAAGATTTTCTACAGTGCGATTTATTCTAAGACTCTTGCTCAGTTAAGTTTACACCTCCATTCAAAACAGTTTTGCTGCTCTACAATATTTCTACTGTAATCAATGATATTTAGGTCTTTAGGATTTTCATTCACTTCGATACATAATTTCAGTGGATGCAAGATCATCCAGAATGTGTGGCGTTGCAATTTAATTTTAATGAAAAAACGATTCTTACGTCTCGATTCTGAACGTTGCAGAATTTATCTTAGCTTGTTGCGATCTAACGTGCACTTCACTGCTCCAATATCTACTGGGCTTAGCCGCCCAGCCACTTCGCAGATTTTAACCAGAAATTTCAGAGAAAGCTGAGATCGAACCCACAATTCACCGCTCTAATCCTTGAACTTGAACCATAAAATCAAACCATAGAATCAAATCAGTGCAAGTGCAACTTTCAGCTTGTTACATTCATGTCGATATTTTTTGTTATTTTTCATAGTTGACATAGGTCATCTCTAATTATTGGTCATAGTTCCGCAACTTTACAGTACCATTTTGTACTTCAAACAGTACGCCCTTGCCATTTGGACAGCGTTAAGCACAGTAAGCCTAAAAATTACACTGTAGTCCAGCGGTAGCAGCACCATACAGCGAGAAGAAGTAGCTAAAGATTCGAGCGTTAGTTATGTTACTTCATTTTTCTGAGTCTCTGGTGGGAGCGTCGGAGGTAGTGCATCAGCATGGCCGTAGTCGTT